ACAGAAAATTAAGTGGAACAAAGAAACTATGAACAACACACAAAAAAAGACATCAAAATGACAGCACTAAACTCATACCTATCAATAATTATGTTGAATGTAAATGGACTAAATGCACCAATAAAGAGACAGAGAGTGGCAGATTGGATAAAAAGTACGATCCATCTATATGCTGTCTACAACAGACACATCCTAGACTTAAAGACACAAACTATATCAAGGAAACAACAATAAAAAAAGAACAGGAGCGGCAGTATTAATCTCTGACAGAATAGACTTTAAAGTAAAATCCACCACAAAGGATAAGAAAGGACATTATATAATGATTAAAGGGTCAACACATCAGGAGGACATAACTAAAATATTTATGCACCCAACGACAGGGCTCAAAATACGTAAAACAAACTCTAACAGCACTGAAAAGAGAGATAGACAGCTCCACAATAGTAGTAGGAGACTTCGACACACCTCTTTTGGTGAAGGACAGAACATCCGGAAAGAAGCTCAACAAAGACGCGGAAGAATTAAATGCTACAATCAACAAACTCGATCTCATGGACATATACCAAATGCTCCACCCAACAGCAACCAAGTATACTTTCTTTTCCAATGCACATGGAACATTCTCCAGAATAGACCACATATTAGGCCATAAAGCAAGCCTTTACAAAATCCAAAGTATCGAAATAATACAAAGCATCTTTTCTGACCACAAAGCCATAAAAGTAGAAATCAACAACACATAAAGCAAGGAAAAAAACATCAAACACATGGAAACTGCACAACACCTTGCTCAAAAACTACTGGGTTATAGAAGAAACTAAGGGTGGAATAATGAAATTCATAGAATCAAACGAGAATGAAAACAAAACCTACCAGAATCTTTGGGACACAGCAAAAGCAGTGCTCAGAGGTCAGTTTATAGCAATAAATGCACACATCCAAAAACAAGAAAGGGCCATAATCAAAACATTAACCCTACAACTGGAACAAGTAGAAAGAGAGCAGCAAAAGAAGCCCTCAGGTGCCAGAAGAAAGCAAATAATAAGAATT